TGGGCCTCGGGGGGGCATTCATCCCGCCACAGTGGGAGTCCAAACCGCGGGGCTGGCGGCGCCTCCCTGGCGCGCTGCGGCCCTGGCCCTCGCCGTCGCCGCCGTCTCCTCCCCTCCTGCCAGCCACGGTGCACATGTTCTCGGACGGGCGTCCTTATGAATCCCCCGACTCCCGCCATTCTACGACCTCCATGAGCTGGCAGAACACCAAGGACCGGTGTGAGTTGGGAACCGTGGCCATGCTTGGCGAGTGCCCATCGGCTACCTGGGCAACCAAGGGCGACATCAAATGCGCCCCAGAGGGCATGCGGCTCTGCACCCTGCAGGAGGTCTGCCCTGGCGGGCCGATGACCACGTGGCCCCCCTATAACAACCCAACGATTCAGCCGACGCCGGCGGTCTGCGACGGCACCACCTTTTACGACAACGTCAGGCAAGAATCGGTGATGACGTGCCTAACCGGCGCGACTGGAGAGCCCGGCGACACGGATTGCAGCCAGTGGGGCATGGGCCCGCAGCCGTGCTACCTCTCGGACAGGCTTGGCATGGCGAGGACTGCGCTGCAGCGTCCGGATGGGAAGCGGGACTTTACCCAGATCGGGTGGACGACAAATCACCTCGACATCAGGTGCAACTCCTACGTCGACAAGTACGGCCAAGAGCCGTCCGACTCGGAATTACCGGAAAATACGGACTTCAACGCGATTGCAGATGAGGGGAAGCAGCACTACACCTGCTGTGTCCTGTGAGGATGTATAGTGCAGGTGACATGAACATGCTGAGTCGCGGTGCGATCGGTCCGGTTCGAGTACTCCATGTATTCCCTAGTGCAGGACATGTACAGCCGTCAGTAGTGCGGAGAGTCGTGGTGTGATCGGTCTCCGGTTCGAGTTAGAGAACGGTTTGGTGATTTTTCACACTCAAGCACGCCCATAACTGTGGCGCTACCCCACGCATCTAGACAAAGGACTTCCAAACAGCATTCACACATGACTGAGACCACATCTCGGACCGTGCTAGCTACACAACGGCTCCAAAACCGGAGGGTGCCGCGGGAAATCGCTATCGGCGCTGTCGAGGGTCGGCACCGGGCCCCGCGGCCCGGGGTATACGGTAGCAGGCTTCCTTCTTCCTAGCAGCTAAAACCGCTTTATGCAACTGCATCTGTCACACACCGCCATCACCGCCGACGTCTCCACCTGTGAGATGATAGATAGAGGGGGGACGCGACACTTCTTCACCACCACCTCTCGATATATCCTGTACCGTGTTATTTTGCTACATGAGACACCCACGCGGTCCGATATAAAGCCGTATGAACACCAGAGGGAGAGAGGGAGGGCGAGACGATCGTCGATCGAGGGGTCCCGTACCATGCGGAATCGATGTGATCTACGTAGAATAACCTCTAATCACTAAAACGTGAAATAACCTCCAATCTGCACACCCACTGCCCACACGCGTCACGTCTCGACTGATGACGACGATCATCCGTTAGCGAGCGTGTGTGTGTGCACTTCTCACCGGCCTAATTAAACTCCGCCCGCCGCCTCCCCCCAACGATCCGAGCGATCTCGCCGTGCCACAGGTTGAGCACGCCCGAGGCTACGAGGAGCGTGACGCCGAGCAGCTTGACCGCGTCGGCAGCCTCACCAAAGAAGAGCGACTGGAGAAGAAAGACGAATGGTACCTCCAGGTAGGCCATCACCGCCGCAGTTGCCGTCGACTCCACCTTTTGATATCCGCTCGTCTGCATCGCGAGCCCAAAGAAGCCAATGCCGGCGATGAGAACCACCAGCGCCGAGCGCCAGCTGCACAGGAGCCCGCCGGGCTCGAGGAGCCGCCCGAGCTTATCGGGGACGGTGCCCTCGCCACTGCCGGGCGTGGCGAGCCAAGAGATGAGGAAGACGGGCGTGAAGACAAAGGAGGCGAGGATGGCGGTGATGTGCTCGACGGTGCTCCAGTGAACGTCTTTCGACTTGCGCACGGCGAGGGGAAGCAGTCCCGCCATCACTGCAGAGCCAAAGGCGAGGCTGAGGCCCGTGGCGTAGGCTGGTGTCACAGGCGCGCCACCAAAGAGGAAAGAGGGCCGGACGATAAGGGCGACTCCAGCCGTGGCGAGGACGCAACAGTACGGCACGGCCGCGTTGATTGGCTCGGAGAGCAGGATCGAGGCAAAGATGGCGGTGAGGATCGGGTTGAGGTAGACGATTGCAACCGCATCGCCGGGTGGCATGTGCACCAGCGCCGCCCACCAGAGCATCATAAAGGCCCAGTACATCAAGGAGCGGAGTACAAGTAGCACACGGTGCCCAGCAGGCGCAAAGAGGAGGTCTGCAGCGGAGGGAGGCGGCGACGGCGAGCTGATGGCTATCGGGAGGGATGGCGCTGGGGGCGATTGCTGGCGCACGCGTCGAAGGCGCAGCGCGACGGCCACCAGGGCCATGCTCCACTGCGTCAACGAGCGCACCTGAAGCATGAGTGGCGTGGGAAGGCCGGCGAGCTTCACAAGCACCGAGACGAGGCCAAAGGTCAACGTCGCGGCGGTATTGTAGGCGAGCCCGACATAGTGCTGTCGCGAATGGGCCTTTTGCTCGGGTGGCAGCAACGGCTCGAGCCTCACGCGGTTGTTGCACATGAGCTCTAAGAACGGAGCAGCGGCTCGAGCCTCACGCGGTGCACATGAGCTCTGAGGGCAGACATGCATGGAACGGAAGTGGAATGTTTCGCGATATTCAAAGGCGGTGTTTGGCTGGGAGCGAGAACTCGAGTGAGCGGCCCGCGAACGACGGCTGCTTTGGCAAAAATGATAAGGACAAAGAAGGCAAAAACTAAACCCGATTTCTCGTCCCGCCACGCCGTGATGAGTGGGCGACACTCAAGCCGCTCGATGACCGACTGCCTCGTCACTGACGGCGGCGCGACGGCCGGATACTTGCGGGTCGGGCGCCACGACTTTGCGCTCTACATCTCGCCTCCCGGTGGCGCCGGCGGCGCCCGCCTGCACGGGTGCCCGCGGCTGCACACGGCGCTCGCTGGGCACGAAGTGGCGGTGTTGCGGCGTCTGCAGCACGCCACGTCGGTAGGAGGCTTTGTGGGAGAGCTGCGCGAGGTGCTCGAGCGGCAGCTCGCCGCCGACGCGCTGGCCGGCTCGCTGACGCCCGCGCTGCCGCCCGCCGCCTTTTACGAGCAGCTGATCGCAGAGGTGGACGGGATCGGGTGGGCGTCGCTCTGCGGCCTCTCGCCGTCGCTTGACGAGCTGCAGCTGACGATCGACGACACCGCGCGCCGCGCGCACGTGCTCACTCTCTCGCTGCCGCCCGACTACCCTGCCCGCTCACCCGTCGCTCGCGCCGCGCTGCCCGCGCCGTTCGAGCTGCGGTGGGCGCCCGGGGAGAGGCCGTCGCTCGCGGCGGCGGCGGCGCAGTTCCGCGGCGCGCTGGCGGCCCACCAGTCGCTGTGGGACGAGCTGGACGACCTCGATCGCGAGGCGTGGGTGCTCGAGCCAAAGCACCCGACGAGAGACGTCTGCCACCGCCGGCTCGCACTCGGCGGCCACTGCTCGCTGCTGGTGACGCTCCACCCGACCGCCCCCTCGTCCCTGCCCGAGCTGCGCTTCCTCGGCGCGGAGCGCTCCATCGCGCCGCTGCGCCGCGCCCTCAACTCGCGCCTCGCCGAGTGGCGGCCCGAGCGGCGCGTGCGGCTCAACCTGCAGGCGCTACTTGGGCTGGCCCTGCCGTCGCCCGTCGCGGCGGACGCGGCGGACGCGGCCGACTACTCGGTCGAGTGCGCCATCTGCTACGAGTACCTCCTCGACGGCGAGCCGCCCAACGTCGCGTGCGACGGCTGCGCCAAGCCCTTCCACCAGGCGTGCCTTGCCGAGTGGCTGCAGGCGCTGCCCTCGACGCAGCAGTCCTTCAACCGCCTCTTTGGTGAGTGCGTGTACTGCTCCAAGCCAATCTCGATTGAGGCGGTGCGATGAGCGGGGGACCTGCGTTGCCTTGCGTTGGTTTTGTGTTGCATGTGTATGGTGACGGGCTCGGGGGCAATCGAGCACGATAAACTCATATTTTTCCTTCGGCGCGGTTCACGCCGCGCAACGACGCCGCGCTCACGGCTCAGCGGCTGTGCCGTCGCTAAAGCTTGTCTCGTCAAACTGAGCTCAAGTCATCCTCATCCGACGCGTCCACGTCGCTAATGACCGCCGAACCTTCCTCATCGCTTGACGACTCGTCGCTGAACGAGTCGTCGCTGCTCGCAAGGGCGCTTCCCGCGCCATCGCCGCACAGGAGGGCGAGCTGGTCGTGGCCCGCAGCACGAGCGACCTCCGCCGTCCCGCGCGACTCGCCGTCTAGGGCGGAGGGGTCCGCGCCGCACTCCAGCAGCTGCTGTACTAGCGCAACGTCGCCGGCCTGGAGGGGGTGGGGCATGGCGAAGCGTGAGAGCCAGACTTGTGCCTAGCGTATAAGACAGCGCGGGAGGTGGAGCGTCGCTGGCCTGCGCGGCTGCGTGGAGAGGCGTGCGCCCGTTCGCGTCCGGCTCCTCCGGGCAGGCGCCGTACTCGAGGAGGAGCTGCGCGACGGCGCCGCGCGAGCTCTCGATGGCGCGGAGAAGTAGCGTGCACCCTCCGTCGTCTCGCTGGTCGAGATCCCCCGGATACTCGGCGAGGAGGACGTGCAGGGCGCGCAGGTCTGCGAGGCTCGACGCAGACGGCACGGCGTCCACCAGCCGCTGGAAAAGCTCTCCGTCCGCCTCCTCCGCCGCCGCCGTCTCGCCACCCTCCTCCTGTAGCTGGCTCAGGGGAACGAGCTCCGTCCCGAGGACACGGAACGTGCGAACGGTTGCCGCCCTCCAAACTCTTGGATCAGCGAGGTTGCCATCGTTGAGCTCTCCGCCGAAGTAAACGATCACGTGCGTCGCGGTGCATGCAAGGCGCAGGTGCGCGCCTAGGTGCTCTTCAGTGTCGAGAAAGTAGAGACTCCGCGGGTAGGAGTCGAGCTTTGTGGTCGAGCTGAGGTCGTGCACCGACAGCTCGACACCGGCCGGAATCTCGGAGAGAGAGTAGAGGCGCCCGTGCGAGATGCTGATGTCGATCAGGCGCCCCTCGAAGCTGTACTCTCGGATGAGTCGACCCTGCAAGGAAAGTACATGCAGGACGCCAACGTGCTCCTGGCGATCAGCCCCAACGTAAAGGCAGCCAGAGTGGCTTGCGAGCGCCTTGAGCTTGTATCCCGCGAGCGAGGTGAAGGGCTCGAAGCTGTTCAGCAGCTCGAAAGTGCTCGAGTCGTAGACGTTGACACATGGGCCGGCAAAGATAGTCTCCTCATCGTCCTCGTCGAAGCAAGGGTTGAAGCCGATCGCGAGGCAGTTCCCGCACAGGGCCATGCCAACCGGCACCCGCGGTTGGTCGAAGAGCAGCTTCGTGCTACAGACGTTGCCGGGCCACAGATTTACCCAGTTGAAAACCGGTGGGAATCGCACCCGAACGCACACTAGCGTGAGACTCAGGGAGCTTTGCCGGCTCAGGTAGTAAGCAGCGTTCTCCTCAATCGACGCTAAGATTGGCCACCAGTGACGTGTATCGACGCCATCGAGTCCGAGCTGCTTCAAATGAATGTGAGGTCCGGCGGTGACGAAACTGGTCGCCAGACTTCCAAACGAGATTATCGACGACTGGGACACTGACGCGAACGACTGCTGCTCGTCGAAGGCGAGCTGCAGTGAAGGCACAAGGCTAGCCCTGGAGGCCTCCGCGACGCAAAGCCCCTGGCCGAAGCTGCTCAACCGAAACACCGGGCACGGGCCATCGAAGAAGACGTCGTGGTCATGACCGCTGAGCTTGTCGTTGCGCATAAAGATGCGCGCGAGCATCAGTGCGAGGTTGCGGTCGCACGCCTCGTCCGGTCGGAGCCACTTTGCCGCCTTGAGCTTGGCATCCCACACCGCGGCCCACGTGGCACAGACGGCAGCGGCGCCGAAGCCCTCGCGAGTAAGGCTGGAGAAGATGCATTGGAGCAGGTCGGGCGAGAGCAGTACTCTCTCGATCGCCCAGTCGGGAACCGGAAGTGCCTGCTCGGCTCGCCGCAGCAGGTCCGGGCATCGCTGCAGCGCCGCGGCTGCTGTCTCGGCGAGCATTTCCACAGGGAGGTGTTGCAGGCACGCGGCGAGGCGAGACATTCGGCGGGAGCGGAGAGCGGAGCGGTTGCAAGAGAAGCCTGGAGGCCCTCACGGCGGCAAAAAGAGAGAAAAAGAAATTTCTCGCGCGGTGAAGACAGCTGCGTCTGTTGACAGCTCACGAGAGAGTATGAATTCCTTAGGTCCGCCTCTCACACCCTCAGAAAGAAAGAAAGAAAACAGACACGCCAAACGAGGGATGGGACGAGGACAGGGTCCCCACCTGCACGAGCAGGATTTTGGAAGAACGATCAGGGGGACAGGTGGGGCTCTCACTGTCTGTGCGATGTGAGCTTCTTGTTTCTTATCAACCTATCTATGAACAACAACGCCCGTCGGGTCGCCCAACGCATCCAGCACCCCCGTTCGCATTCGGCACCCCACATACCTCCGCCGGTGGACGCGCATCCGCGAATCAAGTTGGTGCCGGCAGCCTTGGCGGGTCGTGTGCGCGCGCGCCTCGCAGATGACGGTCAAGGTTTGCGTCTACAACTACAAGGGCGGCGCGTCCAAGACGACCATTACGATCAACCTGTCAGCCGCGTTTGCGAAGCAGGGCAAGAAGGTTCTGATCGTGGACCTCGACCCGCAGTGCAATGCCACGCAGTTCTGGAACACGGACTACGACGACGCGACGTCCGATACCGGCAGCCAGTCTGCCGACGCTGCAGGTGCGCTCGTGGCCATGGCGGGCGGCGGAGAGACGCGAGTCGGATCCGACAAATTGCATCTCACAAAGTTTAACTCGGACATGTCCGCGTTTGTGAGCGACATGCTGAAGACGCCTCTGTACCAGATGCTGAACGCGCACTTTACTCTGTCCAAGCAGGACAGGCTCGACAAGCTGTTGAATGACGCCACCTCTATCTCCGAGTGCAACCCCGACTTCTTCGAGGGCAAGCTGTGGCTGCTGAAGGGCAGCCAGCTCATCTTTAAGTTCGAGCGCGACATCACTGCAGCGCTCGAGGACCAGTCGCTTGCCGACAAGAACGTGAAGCCCATCGGCATTATCAACTACATCCTGAACAAGCTGGCGGACAAGCACAACTTCGACGTCATCATCTTGGACGTGAGCCCGAGCAACAGCTCTCTGAATCAGATCAGCGCTCTCAGCTGCGACTACATCCTGCCCCCGTGCAACGCGTCCTTGTACTCGTGCGGCTCGATCTACGGCTTATTCGAGACCGTTTTGCCCGGCAAAGAGGGGTGGCTCGGCGCACGAAGGCCCTTCCCGGCAAGCAGTGGGAGCCAAACTGGGAGCAGGGCGAGGAGGGGCAGGAGCTGATTCCGTTTCGGCTACCAAAGAAGCCGCCCACATTGCTGCCGATCCTCGTGACAAACTACGGCATGGAAGCACCGACCTCAGCAGAGCTGCTTTCGCGCAAGCGCCGCGCACCGGGCTCCGACCTCAACGCCCGCACCGTTCGCTTCCAACCCAGCCAGTTCGTCTACACGCTGGAGAACTACCTGAAGAGTTGCACGACCATCAAGCGCGAGGCAGGGACGTCCGCCCCGGGCCCTCCGTCGCCATCGCGCCGTACGAGTACAATCGAGCTCCGGGCGAACTGCGGGCGCGAGGCCATCGCTTTCTGCCCGTCTGTGCCCGTTTCCATTGCGGCGACGGAGGCACTTGGGCGGCCGTTTGTGGAGATCACGCTCGAGCAGTTTTCGGACTTCTATGGCTTCGATAAAGACGAGATGAAGACTTCGCAGAAGGCGCTCAAGGAGCGGTCGGCGCTTCTCAAGAAACTGATGGAGTACAACTTGCTCGACTCGCTCGCCGACAACGCCAACGACGTGTTCACACGCGAGGTTTCGCTCGTCAGGGAGCTACGAGAGCCTGGCCGCGTGGCTGGCGAACGATGTCTTCCAAGTCGAGGAGATGGACTAGACGACTGTTTCATGATCTCGGTTCCCATGCCCGTCTGAGCTCCGCCGTCGACCCTGTGTCGAGCCTGTCAGCCGCCATAAACAAAAAAGAAAGATAATCGATTTTCTTTCTGTTCGCAGCCCCCGGGTCTCGCGCGATCCCAGGGTAAATTCTTTCAGTTCGTGGCCTCTCTCGCTCGGCCACGAGGTTTCCTCCAGCGCCTCCTGCGCCTCCCTGCGCCTCCACAGCTTCCGCTATCTGCACTGAGCTTTCGGCTTTACTGAGCTTCTCATTCGCGCGCGCGCCGTCCGAGCACCATGCCCGGCAAGACCGGCAAGAAGCTCACGAAGAAGAGAAAGACGACGCCGATCACGGCCTCGGCGAAAGCGGCGCACGAACAGGAAAGCGGCAAGGTCAAAATCGCAAAGAAGCGATGTCATGGACAGACGCCGCTGCGCAAAGGGCCTCGCCCTACCGATGCGGAGCGGCGCGTGCGCGCCCTCAATAAGAAGCTCCGAGATATCGAGGCGCTGCAGCAAAGGGCTTCGGAGGGCGACGCCCTCGACGCGCAGCAGCAGGCCAAGCTGGACAGCCTGGGAGATGTGCTGGCGAAATTGGAGGAGGCCATGAGCTAGCTCATGTGGTACAAGTACAAGTAATATAGTACCTGATTTGTGGGAATTGTCTTTGTGTGCGCACAGATTGGAGCATGGAGGGTCGACTCTCTATATCTCTCCGACGGTCCGACCGCGTCCGAGAGTGAGGAGAGAGACAAAAAATGCTCCGCGAGAGAGGATGCCACAACGAACCGGATGCCTCTGACCCCTGTGGTGTAGTCAGCGACTGACACTGAGCTATCTCCTACAATGCTAGCTCGACCCTACCGCGCTGGCCAGGCGCGAGCGCGCCACGCCCCATCGTAACTGGCGCCCCCTCGCCGCCTCCCCCAGCGCGCGGCGGCGAGGCGGCCCCGCGGCGAGGCTCCTTACTTTTTCGGCGCCGGCCCAACCATCTGCTCTGGGACGACCCACTGCGCAAACTGCTCCGGCGTGAAGAAGCCGAGCCCCGCGGGCCCTCCCGCCTCGATGAGGGTGGTGCCCTCCGCGTGCGCCTTCTTTGCGACCTGCGCGCGCGAGTGGCAGGGGAAAGTGATGTGGGATGTGGGCGCCTGATGCAGTGTATGCGCTCGAGTCTCCCGGCTCTGGCGGGGTGCGGAAGCACTCTCCCCGCTGCGTGGCCGCACCTGCGAGGCCTTGTCGTACCCGATGTGCGGGTTGAGCGCCGTGACGAGCATGAGAGACGACTCCATCAGCTGCCGGATCCGGGCGCGGTTCGGCTCGATGCCGGCGACGCACGACTTGGTGAAGCAGCGGCACGAGTCGGCGAGCAAGCGCGTCGAGGAGAGCAGGTTGGAGATCATGAGCGGCTTGAAGACGTTGAGCTCGAAGTGGCCCTGTGCGCCTCCCACGGTGATGGCGACGTGGTTGCCCATCACCTGCAGAGAGAGAGAAAGCCGTTTCTGCCACCTGGCGCGCCGAGTCACTCCCGACCTAGGAAGCCGGAGCCGGTCGCCGAAAACGCACACCGTCGCAGTGTCAAGCGAGCTGCAATCTCGGCTGCGTCATCTCGGCTGCGACATCTCGGCTGCCATCTCGGCTGCGTCATCTCGGCTGCCATCTCGGCTGCCATCTCGCCTGCGCGCAGACCATCGTGAGCGCCTCGCACTGCGTCGGGTTCACCTTGCCCGGCATGATGGACGAGCCTGTGGACGGGGGCGGACGGCGTGTGAAGAGGCGCTGCGGTGCAGCTGTGCACCCTGCCGCAGCAACACGCGGCACGAGCCCGGCTCGTTTGCAGGCAGAGAGAGCTCTCCTGTCGGGTCGGGGTTGGGGTTGGGGTCAGGGTCGGGGTTGGGGTAGGACTGCCGGAGCGCTCTCCTGTTCGGGCGGGTTGTTGGATGGGTCTCGAGGAGCGGGAGAGAGAGAGGGGCGCAGTGAGAGAGGGGGAGAGAGGGCTCGCCCAAGCCGGAGCGAGGCCCGCTGCCAAGGAAGCGCACGTCGTTCGCGATCTTGTTGAGCGAGCACGCGAGCACGTTGAGCGCGCCCGACGCCTCCACCATCGCGTCGTGCGCAGCGAGCGCCTCAAACTTGTTCGGCGCCTGCCCGGAGCTCCGCGCCGCCTCATCCGGGCCCCTCTCCCTCTCCCTCTGCTCGCCGCGGGAGTGCGCGCCGTCACGAACGGGAGGCCGGTCTCGCTCGCGATCCGCGCGGCGATCTCCTCGCCGTACCCCTCCACCGTGTTGAGCCCCGTCCCCACCGCCGTCCCTCCGAGCGCCAGCTCCTGCAGCCGCGGCAGCGCCGCCCGCACGCGGCTGGCGCCGTAGGCGATCTGCTGCGCGTAGCCGCCGAACTCCTGGCCGAGCGTGAGCGGCGTCGCGTCCTGCGTGTGCGTGCGCCCGATCTTGACGATCGACGCGAACTCGGCCGCCTTGGCGGTGAGCGCAGCACGCAGCGCCTCGAGGGACGGCAGGAGCGAGCGCTCGAGCTCCGTCGCCGCGGCGATCGACATGGCGGCCGGGAAGGAGTCGTTGGAGGACTGGCCTACAGGGACCCTCCACGCGCCTTCTCGGAGCCTCCCTGCAGGTCCGTCGGGAAGGAGCCGCTGGAGGAGTCGCCCATGTTGACGTGGTCGTTCGGGTGGACGGGCGACTTGGAGCCGACCACGCCGCCGAGCAGCTGGATGGCGCGGTTGGACAGCACCTCGTTCACGTTCATGTTGGTCTGCGTGCCGCTGCCTACGCGATGGGCCCTTTCGAGGTTCCGGAAGCTCCTAGCCCGTCCAGGTTTGCCTGGGCGCGCCGCTGCCCGTCTGAAAGACGACGAGCGGAAAGTGCTCGTCGAGCGCTCCCGCGATGAGCTCGTCGGCCGCCTGCACGATGGCCTGGCCCAGCCGCGGCTCGAGGCGGCCCGCGTCGACGTTGTACTGCGCGGCGCACTTCTTCACCACGCCAAACGCCCGCACCACCGGCAGCGGCATCCGCGCGGCCGCGCCGCCGATCGGAAAGTTCTGGATGCTGCGCTGCGTCTGCGCGCCCCACAGCGCCGAGTCGGCCACCTCGATCGGCCCGAAGGCGTCCGACTCGCTCCGAGTGGCGCAGCCCTGGTCTCGCATCAAAGAGGCGAGGCGGCGTGGGCCTCGGAGAGTCCGCGAAAGCTGCAATTTCTTTTTTGTGCTTCGAAAAGGGAATTTTCAGGATGGTTCGTGCGAAAAGAACAAATTGAGAACAGAGTCCTCCTACGGGAATGTGTGATCTGTAAGGGTCCGCCCGCAGGCGGCCGAGGCGCATTTTGTATACCGAGGCGGTGCCCGGTGCCGAGCGCAGGCAGAGCCCACAGGTCGGACCTTAAGACAGCGTTGTAGATCCCTGGGCGAGGGTGGTGGCGTCCCCGTCGGGACGACGGGCTGTCTGGGGGGGGCGCCCTGCCTCACGTCACCTTTCAGTCCTCACCAGAGCGGGGTCCCCGGTCACAGTCACGGCGAACGGCGTTCGGCGATCAGAGCTCATACTCGTCGCCGCGAATGGTGGGGCAGGTTAGTCAGGGCACGATGCCGGCGTGAACACGACTAACTGACGGATCCGCTCCTGACAGTCGCACGCCGCCGCGCTGCGGCGCGTGCGACTGTCTTTGCTCTTGTTTGAAGTTAAAAGTCGAATCAGAGCGGCGTCGGCGTTGCCCTGAGTTTTCCTCCCACGGACCGCCCGTCCGGGACCGCTCCGGGACGCACGCCGGCGAAGCACCATCAAGCTGCTGTACGGACCCGGCATCGCCTCCCCGGGCCCTGGCTTTAGCTTAAATTAGCTAGACTGAGAGATATTGTGGACATGGTTGGTATCTACAATACATACACTGACACTTCACCTCCGGGAGCTCGTCCCGGTCCGCCACGGCCATCCTCGGCCTCCGGACGGCCCCCGGCCGCGGCGCGGTGCGGCGGAGTCACAAATCCGCGACGGCAGACCGCACCGGCGACCGGGACGCGGGCGGGTGATCTGAGGTCCAACTAGGCGTATGCATTGCTCATCCAGGGCTATCACCTTGACCTATCAACAGGCGCCTTCGGCGCCGTGGTCAGGAGGTGTTGTTCACACCTGCCCAACCATTCGTGCAGCACAGTACGGGAATGCACGTAAGAGCCACATACACCGTAAAAAGGACGGAACGGTCACGACAACAACTGCATCCGCTTTGGCAACAGGCACATGACGCTGCATCATAAATCAGTCAGCCTTGCTGGAGGCAGCCTGCCGGCCCTGCGCCCAGTGATACCACGCGAGGCTGCCTGCCACAATCGCGTGCACGCAAAAGAGGCAAAGGCGCGGCCGCTCCAGATCGACCATGAAGTAGTGCGCCGTGTGGAACTTTGGCTCGTAGATGAACCACTCAAAAACAAGGTAGGCACTAATGACGAGGCTCCCGACTGATGCACCGCCAAGGCGCAGAGGTCGGAGCGGGAGGGCGTCGGGAGAAGCCAGCTCAATGCCCATCGCCACGGCGTTGAGCGAGTGGCACACGAGGCAGAAGGGCGACAGAAAGAAGCGCACGCCCGTCCGCTGCGCGTCCTCGGCGAGGTCGACCTGCGTCGCGTAGCCGTAGAGAGCCCATCCCCCGAGGCTCACCACGGGCGTCCCTCCCGCCACAATCTCCCACAGCAGGCGCAGGCAGTGGGCGCCGGCGCCTGCAGGGTACGCGGCGCGAGCGAGGTAGAACGAGGCGCTGAGAATTGCCATCCAGGCGGTGAACCAGTTTAGCGTCGCCACGCCGCCCACCGGGTTGCACGGACGGCCCGGCGAGTTCTTTGTGCAGTCGATGTCCGTCGCGAACCACGCAGAAGCCACACCGCCCGCAAGAGTCGCCGACGAAATGATCAGAACGAGACGACGCTTCCACGTCAGGGGCGGCTGGCGGCACGCAGAGCGAGGCGAGGACGCGTGGCGAGTCGCGGCACCGCTGTCTAGTGAGGGGTGTACCACGACGCTAGCGTGTACGTCCCTGTGTCTCCGTGAGAGACGAGAGAGCTCTCGCCGTCCATTGTCCATGTACCATGACCCAGGGTGGGCGACGGCTAGCGCATCACACTCCTCTCCTTAAAATCCCTGTGTGGTGGCGGCGTGCCGTTCTCCCATCCCTCCCTTGGGTTGTCTGTGGTGATTCTTTTTCCTTTCCGTAAATTCCCGGCAACCCTAATAAAGAAGAAAAACTTGGCCCTCGGCGACGGACCGAGGAGACTCGGGCGCCGGCAGTCCCACCGGCAGTCCCAGCAACCGTCTGTTGCCATGCTTTTCGCGAGAGCCCGCGCCGCGCCTGCGAGACGAGCAGCGCTGCGGCGCGCCTTCTCCGCCATGCCAGAGTTCAAGTACGCGGACCTCTTCCAGTCGACCAAGCCGCTGCCGTACGAGCTGAGGAAGGTGCCGTGTTCCGATGGCAGCGACTCGTCGGCTCTCGTCAGCACGATGGAGGTGGGCGGCAAGAAGGTGCTCAATGTGGAGCCGGAGGCGCTCCGGCTGCTCGCTGCGACGGCGATGACCGACATCGCCCACCTGCTGCGACCCAGCCACCTGCAACAGCTGTCGAATATCCTCAAAGACAAAGAGGCGACAGACAACGACCGATTCGTCGCGCTGCAGCTGCTGAAGAATGCCAACGTGGCGGCGGGCCGTGTACTGCCCGGCTGCCAGGACACAGGCACCGCCATCGTCCAGGGCAAGCGCGGCCAGTACGTTTGGACCGACGGGGAGGACGAGGCGGCGCTGGCGAGGGGCGTGTTTGACACCTACACGGGCACGAACCTGCGCTACTCGCAGGTGGCGCCGCTGGACATGTACTCGGAGGCGAACACGAAGAACAACCTCCCCGCACAGATCGAGCTCTACGCGGCGCCGGGCGCCGAGTACAACTTCCACTTCATGGCCAAGGGCGGCGGGTCGGCCAACAAGACCTTCCTCTTCCAGCAGACGAAGGCGCCGCCCCTCGCCCTCGCTGCCGCCCTCGCCCCGCCTTCCTCGCCTCACTGCGGCCTCGCCTCCCTCGCCCCTCGCTCCCTCGGCAGGCCCTCCTCAACGAGAAGAACCTGATGGCGCGCCCCGGAGGAGGCGGAGGAGGCGGTGTTGCGCCCTCTCACGCGCGCCGCTCGCCCTGTCGGTAGGCCTTCCTCGAGGAGAAGATCGCGACGCTCGGCACGGCGGCGTGCCCTCCGTACCACCTCGCGATCGTGATCGGCGGCTTGTCGGCGGAGATGACGCTCAAGACCGTCAAGTACGCGTCGGCGAGGTACTACGACACGCTGCCGACAGAGGGCTCGACGATGGGCAACGCCTTCCGCGACGTCGAGTTTGAGAAGAAGGTGCACGAGCTCACGCAGACGATGGGGATCGGCGCGCAGTTCGGCGGAAAGTACTTTTGCCACGACGTGCGGGTCGTGCGGCTGCCGCGGCACGGCGCGTCGTGCCCGGTTGGGATCGGCGTCTCGTGCTCGGCCGACCGGCAGGCGGTGGCAAAGATCAGCGAGGAGGGCGTGTTCCTCGAGAAGCTCGAGACGGAGCCCGCCAAGTACCTGCCGGAGGTCGACGTGTCGGGCAGCGGCGAGGCGGTCAAGATCGACCTCAACCAGCCGATGGATGACATCCTCAACATCCTCACAAAGTACCCCACGAAGACGCTCGTCTCCCTCTCGGGCACGATCGTCGTCGCCCGCGACATTGCGCACGCCAAGATCCAGGAGCGACTCGACAGCGGGGAAGGCATGCCCCAGTACCTCAAGGACCACGCCGTCTACTACGCCGGCCCCGCAAAGACGCCCGACGGGATGGCGTCCGGCTCGTTTGGCCCCACCACCGCCGGCCGGATGGACTCGTACGTCGACTCGTTCCAGGCGGCCGGCGGTTCCAAGGCGAGGCGAGGCACGCGGAGGACCCAGCGCGCCGACGCCCTTCTACGGACCCTCTCGGAGCCTCCTAGGTGATGCTCGCCAAGGGGAACCGGTCCAAGGCGGTGACCAACGCGTGCAAGAAGCACGGCGGCTTCTACCTCGGCTCGATCGGAGGGCCGGCGGCGATCCTCGCGCAGGACTCGATCAAGAAGGCTCGGCCCGCCCCTCGCGCGCCCTGGCACAACGCCGCGTGGCCCGCACTCGGTGCTGCCCTTGCGCCGCCCCCGCTTGCGCCGCCCCTCACTGGCGGTGCCGATGCCGCGCCTCCCAGGTCGAGGTGCTCGAGTACCCCGAGCTGGGCATGGAGGCGATCTGGAAGATCGAGGTCGAGGACTTCCCCGCCTTCATCGTCGTCGACGACAAGGGCAACGACTTCTTCGCAAAGTGGTCCGTCTGAGGCCCGCTGCCTCCCGCCGCCTACGGAAGGGCTGATTGGTCGCGTGCCCGCGGAAGGGCTGAGGGCCCGGCGTGGGCAGCGCGGCTTTTCGCGGCTTTTCTCTTCGTGAGGCACTCACTCGGGAGGGTGGGGCCCTCGCCTGTTCGACCTCTCCGTGATGCCCTCGGCGTGTGCGCGCTGCGAAGGTCCGGTGTGTGGCACGCATGCGCGCGTCGGTCTGTGTGCGCAGTGCGCCGGATCTCGGCGATCGCTCCCAGGTTTTTCTTACAACTTGATGCTTGAACGTCTTTGGACCCGACTCGTAATAAGTGGTGGATAATAATAGCCGCTGGAAGGGCTCGATTGGACGGAGGGTGGACGCGCCGCGGTGGCGACAGCCGCGCGACAGCCGACAGGGGTCAGGGGTGGGGGGTGCGCGGATACCGGTCGCGGTGCGGGTGCGCGGTGACCGAGGTGTGTGTGGGTGTGGCAGCGGTGGTGGTGGCTGTGGCAGCGGTGGTCTAGTGGTGACGGACGGCAACGGTGGTTGCCCCCGACCCTGCCCTCCTGCGGGGTCATTGGCGCCCGCCGCCCGCCGCCTCTTGGCGCGTCTCCGACAGGGGCGCCGCGTTGTCGTCCGCCGGCTCCTCCTTTGCCGCGTGGTGGCCGAGGTTGACGAGGAGGAAGCCGACGCCGACAACGGCGGAGGCGGCGTACTGCCACGGCCCCACCGAGTGGCCGAGGAGGAGGTCGGACGCCACCGAGAGCGGGATGGTCAGGCCGAGCCCGGCGGTGGCGACGGTCGGGGACGTGAGGAGGACGCCCTGCGCCCAGAAGAACTGGGAGAGGGCGTTGTCGAGCAGGCCGGTGAGGAGGAGGAGCCAGAGCACCTCGGGGCTGAAGGAGGCCCAGAAGGGCCCCGCGTAGGCGGGCGAGAAGTGCAGCAGCAGCGCGACCGCCGGGCCGCCGAGCAGGAGCACATAGGCGCCGAGGAAGGAGAAGAACTGGAGAGGGTCGCGGACGAGGGCGCGGACGAGGAGGACGTACGCAGAGTAGAAGAGGGCGGAGAGCCAGCAGATCAGGTCGCCGACCCACGACGGGGCCGGGCCCGAGGGCGCGCGGTCGCCCTGCAGCAGCAGCACGGCGCCCGCGATGCAGAGCAGCACGCCGAGCCACTTTTTGGCCGACGACGGCTCGCTCAGGAAGTAGCGCGAGCCAAGGAAGGTGGTGACCGAGGAGGTGGTGCAGATGACGGTGCTCGACGTCACCGACGTCATCGCCAGGCCCACGCCGTAACTCCACTGCCCCGCAAAGAAGACGGGCATGATCAGCAGCGCCGCCCACGCCTCGGCGCGCCATGTGCGGTCAGGTGCGGCCAATTCTGGCGGCAGCGGCGTCTCGAGCAGCTCGACGCGATTGTCCGCGCGCCGTCTCCGGCCCGCACGCCGCGAGGCGACGGCCGAGCGCACGCCCCAGCTCAGGAAGTGTACGACATAGCACGCATTGGCGACCACCGAGAGCGCAAACGGCTGGTCAAAGCTGAGGTCGTTGAAGATGCGCTTCTTCACCACAGAGGCGGCGGTCCAGATGACGGCACAGACTGTGATCGAGGCCACTCCCAGCACCCACGGAGTGAAGCGAGGCATGACGTCGTGGCCTGGTCGACTCACTTGGACGAGAAGTGTCGTCTGCACAAGAATTTCGTGTCGGTCGCCTGGGCGACTTCCTGCTAGGACAACAACACTGCACACGGGAAACCACAGTACGAGAAGAAAAGAAAATGAGCCAGGCGCCTACCCCGGCCAGGCCCACGCAAATGAGCTCGGATCCGAGGGCGGTGGGGCTGAAGGCGGCTGCTGCCGTCGTGCGAATCGAAAGTGATGCAGGCCTTTCCGCATTGCCTCGAGCTCATCGGCGACGCCACCCGCCACTCCGCTGGCAGCCTGCGCGAAGGTTCCTGGCGGCGGCGGCGGCGAAGCCGGCGGCAGCACGCGGTCCGAGAAGCGGCCCGTGCCGAGACGCACCTCCACGCCCACGCTGGCGAGCTTCTTCTGGTCGGCGATGGCCTGCTCTGTCCTCGCTCGCTCCGCCGC